ACACACACAGACAGACAGACACACACACACAGAGACAGACACACACACACAGAGACAGACAGACACGCACAGAGACAGACAGACACAGAGACAGACAGACAGACAGACAGACAGAGAGAGACAGAGACACACACACAGACAGACACACAGACACACACACAGACAGACAGACACAGAGACACACAGACAGACAGACACAGAGACACACAGACAGACACACACAGACAGACAGACACAGACAGACAGACAGACAGACAGAGACAGAGACACACAGACAGACAGACAGACAGACACAGACAGACAGACAGACAGACAGACAGACAGACAGACAGACAGACAGACAGACACACACACACAGACACTGCAGTCTCACTGTCTGCATGATGAATAACTTTTGATTCATCAATTATTTAAGTCAAAATATGACTTTTATTAATTCACTCTTTCATTTATTTATGTGTTTTTTTCATTAGTTTTATTATTTATTTTAAATTCAAAGACTTTTATTCAGCGCACTTTTCATTTGAGTAAAGAAAACTCAAAGTGACATATCACACTAGAGCCTTAAATTAAACAAAAACAAACCTCTCCTCCTCCCTCCTCCTCCTCCTCCTCCTCCTCCTCCTCCTCCTCTTCTCAGCGACCCCCTCTTCTCAGCGCAGCGTCTCCCCCCCCATGGCTACCCCTGGAGCATCCCTTTAATAAAGACGGGTACCGGTACATCCTGGCAGAACCGGATCCTCACGCTCCGGACCCGGAGAAACTGGAGCTGGACTGCTGGGCGGGGAAACCCATCCCTGGAGATCTGTACCGGGCCTGTCTGTACGAGAGGGTTCTGCTCGCCTTACACGACAGAGGTAACCCACAGACTAACTGCACTATTTATTATTTTATTTTTAGACACCATTGAGTGATTATTATTTTTTTACTTCATTTAAAAAATATATATATTTATTTGTATTTATGTAACAGGGACGGTGTTCGGGTTAGAGCGCACATTAATCAACATTTCTGTCAATGTGCCAGAGTTAGCCAAGAGGCTATTTTTCATCTGTAGTCCCTGGATAGATTTTGTTTGTCCACCTAAAGACACATTTCATTTTAAAGTAAATACAATCAAATAAAAACATGCAACATACATTACTGGAATACTTAAAGGGGACCTATCATGCAAAATGCACTTTTGTACGTCTTTTCTACATGAATATGTGTCCCCGGTGTTCCAGGGAACTCACCAAGTGTCAGAAAACACAAACCCTCTCTATTTTCCTCCATACCCAAATCTCTAAAAAAGGGGCTGCCAACGGATCTGATAAAAACTGATCCAGATTCTGAACACTGTCCTGACGTCAGGACGGTGGCGCTACGGCTATTGGGCCAACTCCACAATCAGGAGGAGACAGCCACGGCCATTGCCGTTCAAAAGCGCTGGAGACGCTGTAGTACATATGCCAGGCCTGTAGGTGGTGCTGTTCTCACAGAATCAAGGCCCTTGCTAAAACAGAGCTAAAAATGTCAAATTGAGCAAAATGAGGCATGGCTAAATCTGTTTGGTATTTTGAACAAAAAAAAGTCTAAATATGCCTATATAGTATGGTCCTACACTATATTATTCAAATATAGCATGATAGGTCCACTTTAAATAAAAAATAAAACAATAAAACAAAACAAAAAGCACATGGCCGTGTGGACAGGACACTGGGTTGTTTCTGTTTCGGTTAGATTGTACAACATATTGACACTTTTGTCCACATCTTTTTTCCAATTTTCATTTAGCTGTATCTACAGATAAAGAAAACTGAGCGAAAATATACAAAAATAAATAAATAAATCGAAAAATATCCATGTGTATAATAGACGTATAGAAAAATGTATTTAAAGAAATAATAATATAATAATAATTGTAGAAATTACCTAAAGAAATAAAACTGAAAATGAACTCGAAAAATATGTCTGACTGAGGCCCGAGCTAGAGAATCTTACTCGGGAATGATCCAAGTCCAGACATTTATTTGTTGATTCAATGTCATCCAAAAGTAAAATGAACACGTTTCCAATAATTGCCTTTCCAGGTGTCCAAAGAGGTTGTATTCTACAGTCTGCCTGAATGTAATCATTGCGTAGGTGTGTAGTGTGATTCTGTGTAGTTTATTTATGGCATCCCGTTGGATTTGACGTCATCTGAACAGGACATCGCACGCTCACTGCTTGATAGCGCGCGAAGGTCCGTTTACGCCGGTTGCTAAGCAACATCGTTATGGGGAAATGCAAGTCTGCGTCCAAATGGTTGGAAGATAAGGAGGAAGGACAATCAATACTGTATATAGTTAATGTGAGGTAAAGTGTGTCGCCAAGGTAACCGGTTAGAACTCCAAGTGGAAAGGGTCCAAAGATCCAAAAATACTTAAAGATCCAAATATACTTAAAGTTCCAAAAATACCGTAAAGTTCCAAATATACTTAAAGTTCTAAAAATACCGTAAATTCCAAAAATACTTAAAGTTCCAAAAATATCGTAAATTCCAAAAATACTTAAAGTTCCAAATATACTTAAAATTCCAAAAATACTTAAAGTTCCAAAAATACCGTAAATTCAAAAAATACTTAAAGATCCAAAAATACTTAAAGTTCCAAAAATACCGTAAATTCCAAATATACTTAAAGTTCCAAAAATACTTAAAGATCCAAAAATACTTAAAGTTCCAAAAATATCGCAAATGGTTGGAAGATAAGGAGGAAGGACAATCAATACTGTATATAGTCAAAGTTAGGTAAAGTGTGTCGCCAAGGTAACCGGTTAAAACTCCAAGTGGCGATGAGGTCTTAAAATGTATGGAAAGGGTCTTAAAAAAGGTCTTAAAAGGTTTTACATGTGACTTCAGGATTCCTGCATATACCCTGCTTTCCTACGGCATGCTTGTTTCACCCTGGTAAAAAAATATATGCCTAATCCCACCACCGCCTCTCCAATATATACATTATCACCAGGTGCATTTTTATATATTATAAAACAAACCTTTGTTGTTGTTTCAGCGCCTCAGCTGAAGATCTCTGACGACCGCCTGACGGTCACGGGGGAGAAAGGCTACTCGATGGTGCGAGCGTCTCACGGGGTCCGGAGAGGGTCCTGGTTCTTCGAGGTGACGGTGGATGAAATGCCTTCAGAGACGGCCGCGAGGCTCGGGTGGTCCCAACCCCTCGGTCAGTGGAGATGCAGTTAACTCAGAAATCACAGTGCATGTCTACAGGGCTTTGCAGAGGATGCTTGAAACAATTGCACATCATCCACACGAGTTAAAATAGGTTTCCACAAGAGATATTTGAAAAAGCATTCAAATATCTTACTAACTTTGCAGCTTTAGGGCCAAAATGTGTCTTTACAAGCTCATTTTAGAGAAACCTGAGATAGTTCTGCTCATTTTAATTGAATTTGATTTAAAGAAATGCCCCCGAGGGTTCGATAGGTGTAGCTAAACAACGATGCTACCTAAAAACAACACACCAATGTATTCCAAAGCATAGAGAGGGCTTGGAGAAAGTATTTTTGACATCCCCTTTCTTTCCTCGTGTCGTAGGTAACCTGCAGGCGCCTCTGGGCTACGATAAGTTCAGCTACTCGTGGCGCAGTAAGAAGGGAACTCGCTTCCACCAGTCCATCGGAAAGAGTTTTTCCTCTGGCTTCGGTCAGGGAGACACGCTGGGATTCTTCATCGAGTTACCGGACGGCACGGAGACCGCCAAGGCTCTGCCCGACACCTACAAGGACAAGGTGAGGACACACTGTCTCCTTCACTGACTGACGTTCAGACGTCATCTGAACAGGACATCGCACGCTCACTGCTTGATAGCACGCGAAGCTCCGTTTACGCCGGTGTTGTTAAACAACATCGTTATGGGGAAATGCAAGTCTGCGTCCAAATGGTTGGAAGATAAGGAGGAAGGACAATCAATACTGTGTATAGTCAATGTGAGGTAAAGTGTGTCGCCAAGGTAACCGGTTAGAATTCCAAGTGGAAAGGGTCCAAAGATCCAAAAATACTTAAAGTTCCAAATATACTTAAAGATCCAAAAATATTTAAAGTTCAAAAAATACTTAAAGTTCAAAAAATACTTTAAGTTCCAAAAATACCGTAAATTCCAAAAATACTTAAAGTTCCAAAAATACTTAAAATTCCAAAAATACTTAAAGTTCCAAAAATACTTAAAGATCCAAAAATACTTAAAGTTCCAAATATACTTAAAGTTCCAAAAATACTTAAAGATCCAAAAATACTTAAAGTTCCAAAAATATCGCAAATGGTTGGAAGATAAGGAGGAAGGACAATCAATACTGAATATAGTCAATGTGAGGTAAAGTGTGTCACCAAGGTAACCGGTTAGAACTCCAAGTGGCGATGAGGTCTTAAAATGTATGGAAAGGGTCTTAAAAAAGGTCTTAAAAGGTCTTACATGTGACTTCAGGATTCCTGCATATACCCTGTAGTTATTTTGCCACTTTTCTAACCACTTGATTTGACTGTAATGTGTGTGAAAACTTGTGAAAATGTACACACATAGATCTACACTGACTCCCCACATGGTGTAATTCTGACTTTCTCTCTTTTCAGGCTCTTATCAAGTTCAAGAGCTACCTGTACTTTGAGGAGAAGGACTATGTTGACAAAGCAGAGAAAAGCCTGAAGTCAATGAGCCCCAGCAAGGTGAGAGAACCTCTTCAATGTTGTGTTACTAATGTGTTTATTGAAGGTAAGGCTTTTTATCATATATCCTAGGTCTAGAAGTTGTGTAATGTTTTTGTGAATAATGATTACAATCTTAAAAAATGTTTCCTTTAACCGGTTGTTTCCTGTTTTCCAGATGGTGTTCTTTAAAAACGGAGTGAGTCAAGGTGTTGCCTTTGAGAACCTGTTTGAAGGCATGTACTTTCCGGCCATCTCACTCTACAAGAGCTGCACGGTCAGTACTTAAAGATCACATTCAACACGTTATACACGAGTCCTTCTGCTTTGTTACGATCTGTTCCTGTGCTAAACGTTACCTTCTCCCTGCAGGTGTCCGTTAACTTCGGGCCGAATTTCAAACACCCTCCGAAGGACCTCAAGTACCAGCCGGTGAGTTTATAAAATATTGTCATACAGTAAAACTAACTTTAAAACAATATCCTGTAAGAACTTCCGCGCTGGAACGATATTTCCTGGTAATAAAGAACGTCAAATCTTTAGTTTTAGAAATGTAACAGGCTTTATTTTCCAGTAGATGGCGATGTTGGATTAAATAACAACAAACGTGATTTAAATATTATCATAGATCAAATATTGTTCCTACTGTATGTAAGAATAATTGTGTGTATTTAAAACAAAAGTACACATACTAAGTAGAGAAAGGTTTTAGGAAAAAAAAACGCCAACGGGTAAAATGTACCCGCTATTAGAATGCATTGATTTTCAAGGTACAATGTCTTTTATTTATCATACTAGAACACAGGGTTAAGAGTGAGTTTTGATCGCATAGTGATGAAACTTATTACCAACAGAATCTGTGGACTCTCCGCTTCATATGATATCTAGTTTGTGCAGAGAACATGACGTATAAAAGATCGCTACCGTGTGGAGTCATGAAGTCAAGTGAGGATTCTACTTCTGATCGAGTAATCGATCTAGCTATTCTCTCTCTCTTCTCGCTCTCTCTCTCTCTCTCTCTCTCTCTCTCTCTCTCTCTCTCTCTCTCTCTCCTCTCTCTCTCTCTCTCTCTCTCTCTATAACTGATAAATGTTATAATGAATGAGTAAGGGTTTGAATAACCTACGCTCAATAAATATGACATTATTATATTATATTCAATTGAAAAACCCTCAATATGTCAATTTTTAAAGCATTTAATATCATTTTTATTCACAGGTAATATACAATTGTATTTCCGTAATTATTATTTCTCCTCCATCATAATTTAATTTAGTAATGTGTGAGTAAGGGTTTGAATAACCTACACTCAATAAATACAACATTATGATCAGGGGTGCACATAACTGGTACGCATGCGCGGCAAACATCTGAAATGCGTACCGTCACTTGTGTCACTAAGCGCATTTGCGTACCGTCACTTGTGTCACTAAGCGCATTTGCGGACCGTCACTTGTGTCACTAAGCGCATTTGCGTACCGTCACTTGTCTCACTGAGCGCATTTGCGTACCGTCACTTGTGTCACTGAGCGCATTTGCGTACCGTCACTTGTGTCACTAAGCGCATTTGCGTACCGTCACTTGTGTCACTAAGCGCATTTGCGGACCGTCACTTGTGTCACTAAGTGCATTTGTGTCACTAAGCGCATTTGCGTACCGTCACTTGTGTCACTGAGCGCATTTGCGTACCGTCACTTGTGTCACTGAGCGCATTTGCGTACCGTCACTTGTCTCACTGAGCGCATGCGTATGCGTCCGCACTTGTGTCACTGAGCGCATTTGCGTACCGTCACTTGTGTCACTAAGCGCATTTGCGTACCGTCACTTGTGTCACTAAGCGCATTTGCGTACCGTCACTTGTGTCACTAAGCGCATTTGCGGACCGTCACTTGTGTCACTAAGTGCATTTGTGTCACTAAGCGCATTTGCGTACCGTCACTTGTGTCACTGAGCGCATTTGCGTACCGTCACTTGTGTCACTGAGCGCATTTGCGTACCGTCACTTGTGTCACTGAGCGCATTTTGCGTACCGTCACTTGTGGTCACTGAGCGCATTTGCGTACCGTCACTTGTGTCACTGAGCGCATTTGCGTACCGTCACTTGTGTCACTGAGCGCATTTGCGTACCGTCACTTGTGTCACTGAGCGCATTTGCGTACCGTCACTTGTCTCACTGAGCGCATTTGCGTACCGTCACTTGTGTCACTGAGCGCATTTGCGTACCGTCACTTGTCTCACTGAGCGCATTTGCGTACCGCCACTTGTCTCACTGAGTGCATTTGCGTACCGCCACTTGTGTCACTGAGCGCATTTGCGTACCGTCACTTGTCTCACTGAGCGCATTTGCGTACCGTCACTTGTCTCACTGAGTGCATTTGCGTACCGTCACTTGTGTCACTGAGCGCATTTGCGTACCGTCACTTGTGTCACTGAGCGCATTTGCGTACCGTCACTTGTCCGGCGCGTGCTCCACTAGCACCCACCTCCACCCCGTCGACGTTTCAATACCACACCCAAACCGACATCCCCCCCCCCCGGCCAACGCTCGCGAAACAGAGGGGCTGAACCTTGCGTGGGCAGCCCTGAGTACCAAACATTGTCTCCTGGTACTCATTTGAGTAACTCACTAAGAAAGTTATGTGCACCCCTGATTATTATATTATATTCAATTGAATAACCCCCTGAATATGTTCAATTTGAAGGCATTTAATAACATTTTTATTTCCCAGATAATCTTTATTCTGCATTCATTCATGAATCACGTCTCCTCCTCCCTCAGATGAGTGATATGGGCTGGGGCGCGGTGACGGAGCACACGCTGGCGGACATGTTGTATCACGTGGAGACGGATGTGGACGGACGGCGTTCCCCCCCGTGGGAGGGATGAAAGAAATCAACACACACACACACACCTTGCCCCCCCTCCCCCCATGGTCCCCCCCCATGGTCCACCTTCAGACGGTAAAATAAAAAGCACCAGGGAACTGTCGCTCCTCAAAGAAGCTGACTTCCACTCCAAGACAGAAAGTGGATAAATATGCTGTGATGTCACCAAGCTCATTTCTTATTGGCTGCATATGATCAGCTGACATTCCTTTACGAACATCTGACACATTATTTCTGGTGCTTTCCTTTCAAATCTGTATTTTTTGAAGTTATAATGTCATGTTTCTCTGCAGCCTAACTCCATCTGCAGAAACATTGTTTGTGTATTGAGTCTGATTTTATTTGTTTTACAATGTGTGTCAATTATTCTCTGTTTTATACTCTGGGTTGAATAAATAAAAAATAAATGCTACATGAACAAAGTTGAACTCCTGACATTCTTGGGTTGTAAACATTGAACATTTGATATTTCTGCTTGAAACTTACACTTATTTTTGAGGAGGACTCTTTAAAGTAGAGACACTACATACTGATAAACACCTGAACATCAGCAGGAGAGAACTCTTTAAAGTAGGGACACTACATACTGATATACACCTGAACATCAGCAGGAGAGGACTCTTTAAAGTAGAGACACTACATACTGATATACACCTGAACATCAGCAGGAGTCAGGAGAGGACTCTTTAAAGTAGAGACGCTACATACTGATATACACCTGAACATCAGCAGGAGAGGACTCTTTAAAGTAGAGACACTACATACTGATATACACCTGGACATCAGCAGGAGAGGACTCTTTAAAGTAGAGACACACCTACTATCTACACCTGACACATCAGCGGAGAGGACTCTAAAGTAGAGACACTACAACGATATACACCCTGAACATCAGCAGGAGAGGACTCTTTAAAGTAGAGACACTACATACTGAATAACACCTGAACATCAGCAGGAGAGGACTCTTAAAGTAGAGACACTACATACTGATATACACCTGAACATCAGCAGGAGAGGACTCTATTAAAGTAGAGGACACTACATACTGATATACACCTGAACATCAGCAGAGAGGACTCTTTAACAGTAGAAGACACTACTATACTGATATAACTCTTGACATCAGCAGGAGAGAGACTCTGTAAAGTAGAGACACTACATACTGATATACACCTGACATCAGCAGGAGAGGACTCTTTAAAGTAGAGCACTACATACTGATATACACCTGACATCAGCAGGATGAGGACTCTTTAAAGTAGAGACACTACATACTGATATACACCTGAACATCAGCGGGAGAGGACTCTTTAAAGTAGACACTACATACTGATATACACCTGACATCAGCAGGGAGGACTCTTTAAGTAGAGACCACATACATACTGATATACACCTGAACATCAGCAGGAGAGGACTCTTTAAAGTAGAGACACTACATACTGATATACACCCTGATCATCAGCAGGAGAGGACTCTTTAAAGTAGAGACACTACATACTGATATACACCTGAAACATCAGCAGGAGAGGACTCTTTAAAGTAGAGACACTACATACTGATATACACCTGATCATCAGCAGGAGAGGACTCTTTAAAGTAGAGACACTACATACTGATATACACCTGAACATCAGCAGGAGAGGACTCTTTAAAGTAGAGACACTACATACTGATATACACCTGAACATCAGCAGGAGAGGACTCTTTAAAGTAGAGACACTACATACTGATATACACCTGATCATCATCAGGAGAGGACTCTTTAAAGTAGAGACACTACATACTGATATACACCTGAACATCAGCAGGAGAGGACTCTTTAAAGTAGAGACACTACATACTGATATACACCTGAACATCAGCAGGAGAGGACTCTTTAAAGTAGAGACACTACATACTGATATACACCTGAACATCAGCAGGAGAGGACTCTTTAAAGTAGAGACACTACATACTGATATACACCTGAACATCAGCAGGAGAGGACTCTTTAAAGTAGAGAGGTGAACATGTCAAATATTGGATAGAAACACAAATAAAAATAACAAACGTTTAATATTTTATAAAAGAAATCACAGAATCTGAATAAAACAGGTTTTGGGAACCACTACATTAAACGTTTTCTGCTAAAACAGTGCAATAGTGATATCAGTTTTAATGTCATAGTAGTTTCATACAGTCTGTTGTGCTACTGCTACTGAAGTAATTAGATTTAAAATGTTAAAACAGGATGTGAGTGAATGACAACAATGTGTTTAGAAGGCAGAAATGAAGCAAGTGCTGATATAGTGCATTTGTGGGAGAAAGGACAGATAATGACAGGAAACAGGTTCTCCTTCATGTTTGTTTTCTGCTCCAGTGTTTGTGTTTCAGTGTCTTTGAGTTTCTTCTTCACATCGACGTGCTCACCAGTCCGGACTTCATGTAGCTCTCATTGGAATTCAAACCCTGTCTGCTGTCATCGGACGCATCCTGAGGGTGCTGAGAGAGATTCAGATTCATTATACACACACTTAGAGGAGACTACACATACAAGGTACCTGTACTTAAGCTTTACCAGAGATGGTAGAATAGAAGTACACACATCCTTTACTCAAGTAGAAGTACAGATACTCGTGTTTAAAAATACTCTGGTGAAAGTAGAAAGTACTGACTAAACTTCTTTACTCAAGTCAAAGTAAAGAGGGCTTTGAAATGTACTTCAGTAAAAAGTACCCATAACTAGCAGCTGTTTTAAAGAGTACCTGACCTCCCTTTATATTAATAGAACAATAATGTCATTGTTAGCTAATGAATGTTTCCATGCTGAACAACGGCAACATGACAACGTTTTCATTGGTCCCTCTTCTTTAGAGAAGACCAGGAAATGATGGATACACGGATCGTGTTCAAATCAATAGGCACGCCATGACTCTAAATAATAATGATCACGCCACCAAACACACATTCAAACTAAAGGAACCAGCCTGTTTGGGAAATGTAAGAAGTAGAAAGTACAGGTATTTGGGTTCAACATGTAAGAAGTAGAAAGTACAGGTATTTGGGTTCAACATGTAAGAGTAGAAAGTACAGGTATTTGTGTTCAACATGTAAGAAGTAGAAAGTACAGGTATTTGTGTTCAACATGTAAGAAGTAGAAAGTACAGGTATTTGGGTTCAACATGTAAGAAGTAGAAAGTACAGGTATTTGTGTTCAACATGTGAGAAGTAGAAAGTACAGGTATTTGGGTTCAACATGTAAGAAGTAGAAAGTACAGGTATTTGTGTTCAACATGTAAGAAGTAGAAGAAGTACAGGTATTTGTGTTCAACATGTGAGAAGTAGAAAGTACAGGTATTTGTGTTCAACATGTAAGAAGTAGAAAGTACAGGTATTTGGGTTCAACATGTAAGAAGTAGAAAGTACAGGTATTTGGGTTCAACATGTAAGAAGTAGAAAGTACAGGTATTTGTGTTCAACATGTGAGAAGTAGAAAGTACAGGTATTTGTGTTCAACATGTGAGAAGTAGAAAGTACAGGTATTTGTGTTCAACATGTGAGAAGTAGAAAGTACAGGTATTTGTGTTCAACATGTAAGAAGTAGAAAGTACAGGTATTTGGGTTCAACATGTGAGAAGTAGAAAGTAACAGGTATTTGTGTTCAACATGTACGAAGTAGAAAGTACAGGTATTGGGTTCAACATGTGAGAAGTAGAAAGTACAGGTATTTGGGTTCAACATGTGAGAAGTAGAAAGTACAGGTATTTGTGTTCAACATGTAAGAAGTAGAAAGTACAGGTATTTGGGTTCAACATGTGAGAAGTAGAAAGTACAGGTATTTGTGTTCAAAATGTGAGAAGTAGAGAAAGTACAGGTATTTGTGTTCAAAATGTAAGAAGTAGAAAGTACAGGTATTTGTGTTCAAAATGTAAGAAGTAGAAAGTACAGGTATTTGGGTTCAACATGTGAGAAGTAGAAAGTACAGGTATTTGTGTTCAAAATGTGAGAAGTAGAAAGTACAGGTATTTGGGTTCAACATGTGAGAAGTAGAAAGTACAGGTATTTGGGTTCAACATGTGAGAAGTAGAAAGTACAGGTATTTGAGTTCAACATGTGAGAAGTAGAAAGTACAGGTATTTGTGTTCAACATGTAAGAAGTAGAAAGTACAGGTATTTGAGTTCAACATGTGAGAAGTAGAAAGTACAGGTATTTGGGTTCAACATGTGAGAAGTAGAAAGTACAGGTATTTGGGTTCAACATGTGAGAAGTAGAAAGTACAGGTATTTGTGTTCAACATGTGAGAAGTAGAAAGTACAGGTATTTGAGTTCAACATGTGAGAAGTAGAAAGTACAGGTATTTGTGTTCAACATGTAAGAAGTAGAAAGTACAGGTATTTGTGTTCAACATGTAAGAAGTAGAAAGTACAGGTATTTGAGTTCAACATGTGAGAAGTAGAAAGTACAGGTATTTGGGTTCAACATGTGAGAAGTAGAAAGTACAGGTATTTGGGTTCAACATGTGAGAAGTAGAAAGTACAGGTATTTGTGTTCAACATGTGAGAAGTAGAAAGTACAGGTATTTGAGTTCAACATGTGAGAAGTAGAAAGTACAGGTATTTGAGTTCAACATGTGAGAAGTAGAAAGTACAGGTATTTGTGTTCAACATGTAAGAAGCAGAAAGTACAGGTATTTGAGTTCAACATGTAAGAAGTAGAAAGTACAGGTATTTGTGTTAAAAATGTAAGAAGTCAAAGTAAAAAGTGGTCAGAAAAATAAGTAGTGGAGTAAAGTACTGATACCAGAAACATGTACTTAAGTACAGTAACGAAGTATTTGTACTCCACTACTTCCCAACTCTAATTATTAGGTAAATATTGTACTAATCCTGTTGCTGCTATAAACGCCTGAATTTCCCCAAGGGGATAAATAAAGTTCCATCTTATCTTACTTAAGTTGCTTTTCACATTACAGACGTGCATCCCCTTCCTCTCCAGATGACTTTTGTTAAACTGAAACTTAAAAAGTACCGATGATCATCTGGAAAATGCATCTGTTTTTCTGAGAAACTCACAAGAAGTTACCTTTGAATTGATCGAATATGAAGCATTGCTGCAGATTAAACTAGCCAACAGTTCATAAAGGAGGTTAAAACATCTAAGATGCAAAATAATATGTGTATAAAGTCTACAAATACCTGAAATTGTTTTTTAAAAAGTAGGAAAAACGTCCAATAAATATAGAAAGAATTATGGAGAGTTGTTTGGTAATATACATTTTAACAGAATTTGCCAAAAAACAAAACGAAAATGTATCTGAAAAATGTCCAAAAGAGTCTGTGATAAATGCAGTAAAAAGCAACTTGCTTACAGAATAATGTATTGATTAAAGTAGCCAACATCTGCACCAGTGTAGCAGTGACATTAATGCAGATGACTGCTGCTGCAGAGTTT